ATCAATTTCATATAATACACAATATGTAAGCAAATATATGGATATAAATCCGACAGTATGAAAGAAAAATACAGAAAAAACAAAATTCTGAATATGCATTATTAATGTTAAAATAAAGTCGACGTCGGACGTTTCGGTCTATTTAAGACCATCTTCATGGACACAAAAGACGATGGACATAAGAGCCCAACTAATTCAAACAGATAACAGTTATCTGTTTGAATTAGTTGGGCTCTTATGTCCATCGTCTTTTGTGTTAAATTGTTATAAGTTATAATGTTAATTATGTTTAAATGAAAATGTCCATGAAGATGGTCTTAAATAGACCGAAACGTCCGACGTCGACTTTATTTTAACATTAATAATGCATATTCAGAATTTTGTTTTTTCTGTATTTTTCTTTAATACACAATATATACAGAAACACACTATGCGACGTATACACACTATTTAAAAAAAAGCATACACCCACTTTACATATCAAATTAAATCCAGAAATATCATATTGCTTAGCATTCCATTGATTCTAAAATTTGCAGAATCCATGAAGACGAGCACCATTTTCTTTTACGTATACGACATTCATATATGAATCAGCACAAAATCTCAACGTGACCTGCCATCTTTTAAGGTAGAATAGTGCACAGAATGAACTAATTATGCCCAAGTCGAACAAGCGTTTTCTCTTGAGTCCCCCTCCCTCAAGTAAGCTAATTACAAGCGATCTAAGATGATTGAATCATACAAAGAGCAAAGTCTAACCTCGCATTGCTCTCATAACAGGACAGTGTAGTAAAATCATCCTTTTTTTAGAGATATCTAGCTGAATAGCTTCAGGGCATTTCCTCATCTAACCCGGAGAGAAACGTCATTACAAGTAAAACAAAACTTTCTCCCAGTTACAAGAAGAAACACTAGAAATTAATTTACAGATCCGATTAGCCAAAATAAAATCCTCCATAAAAAAAACTATAGTTTTGAATTATTTCCATTATTCTGCATCTTAATTGTTTTAACAGGATTTCTTCAGGCATTTGAGATTATCCTTTTTTCAGTTAGAACATAAGTTTATAATTATTTACATTTACACTAATGTCTCTATGTTTGCTATCACAATGTCATGCCCTCCAGTCTTCTGGATTAAAGAATTACTTCCTGAGTTAGTTGACATAGTAATTGTGAGTTCAATCCCGGGGCTGGGCAGTGTGTACTTGGACTTAGTGGAAACAAGGCAAGCAGTAACTTGGCAGTGCGAAATAAGAACAAGACGAGATATCTGTAGACACGGACAACAGAACGAGAAATATCTATCCCGGTAAATTAAATAAAGTGTTCAGTTCAAAATTGCCTGAAGGTGATTTAGATTGACACAAAACCTGAAGAAGGGTAGAGACCACAACAGTTGAAACATTGTGATAATAACAATGATATTATTCAGAATGTAAATAACGATAACTCCCATTCACAAAGTTCAGACGAATAAACAAAGGTTTTATATATATATATATATATATATATATATATATATATATATATATATATATATATAAATAAGCATCACCATGGTATTTTTAGAGTTTGTTTTCTTTTATAATATCAATATATATTTATATATAATATATTAATATATGAGCTCTATTAAGACAAACAAGGAAGGACTGGGCAGCTCTAGGTCAGATATAACACTAACAGCAATATGACTTATATAAACCAACACTAAACAAATCATAACCACACACACACCTACACACATTGTGGCCGGAAACACTAGTCGAATCACACGCAGATACACCATACAAATATGGAGAATGAATATATACACACATGCTGGCAAAAACAAACACGACGAACCACATACACACCATACAAAGTGTGTATATATGGCGGTGAACTCTCCCATCATATCGACGTATGAGTGTCAAGCAGATCAGTTCCTAGGAAACCGACATCCCGATACCGGCACATGAGATTTAACTATAGTGGTGAAGGTTTTGTGCAGAACCATCCACACTTTTGGATGTGCCTAATACAGAGACCTGGTGCACTACGTGCCACAAGTCCCCAAACGACCCTCCGCAGGTTTTGAATTCAGAGTTGTCCTTCTCCTAGACCAGTTGCCATCCAAGGCTGTAGAACCCAGTTTGTCCTGCTATTTACCCATAGCTGGTGAAGAAGATTGAGCATTCATACCTTTCCCAAGGGTATTAGCACGTAAGTGAATGTAACAGATTCGACTGGAATTCGAATTCAGCTCTCTGATTACTGAATCAGAGCCGCTACACACTCTCTCTCTTATATATATATATATATATATATATATATATATATATATATATACTATTTCCTTGTAGTAAAACAATATAGATGTATGGAGATGGAATATGTCTCACATAAGAGTAAAATCACATGCGCACACACACCCACACAAATGTTTAAAAAAGGTTTAAAAAGGTACAGAGGTCATAAAAAGATAAGTACAAAGACCTCCTTCCTTCGCCCGTTCTCTGACTAATCCTAATTGTTTTATTACCCCTTAAGCTGAGGGACATTTTCTCCATTAAGTACTTGGATTACTACCACACACAAAAGACTATGGCTAGACATAAGAAAACATAATTCCTTTAAATAATACATGGAAATAGCCATTCCTCGCCTGATGAAAGTCACAAGACCCAAAACACGCGTAGCAAAAAATATGGAAAATAAAGTATATATATTTTTAAAGAAAAATCCACATTATAACCCAAAACGTTTATATATATATATATATTGATGCATGTTTCATTAAATAATATTAACAAGTTTTGTCTATTTATTTTAAGTTTAGTTCCTTTCATATTGTCTGATAAGCTTAATAACATTATCATTGAAAGACAAAAGGAAATCACCATGTTGATACATGTTTACATCGTAAATAACATTTCAATATATTAAACAATACACGGACAAAACAATAATGATAGTCTGTTTTTGTTGCATGAAAAATTTTCAAAGCAACAACAAACTCGTGTATGATTGTTTTTTCCGTGTATTGTTTAATATGTTGAAATGTAATTGTCATCTTTGATAATGGCTTATGTAAGCCGAAAGCTTAGATAGGATTTAAACATGTATCAATATGGTGATTTCCTTTCGTCTTTCAATGATAAAATTATTAAGCTTATCAGACAATATGAAAGGAATTTACTTAAAATAGACAAAACTTGTCTATATTATTTAATGAAACATGCATCAATGAAAAATTGCTGCCCAAATACACAATATATATATATATATAGTGATTTTCCAAACGTAGCTTAGATGTGGCACAAGGCCGAAAGTACGGGGCACCCAGTGCGGATCGAACTCACTATTCAGTTGTAATTGTTCTAGCGAGACAAGCTTGCTAATCATATGTGAAGATAAAGAAATGAGGCAGTGCAAAAAATATATATTTGTATACAGGGTGAGTCAAAAGTCACACCCAGATTTTAGGAAGTCACATTGTTAATATTTGTCTTACAGATTATTAATTTTCTTCGTTAATTCCACATTAGATAAACATGTCTTTCACTGATTTCTACTTATTAATACACCGTCAAACAAATGATAAACAACCAACTGACAGCTGTAAAAACAAGTCGGCCATAACATTTGACACACTCTGATCCATGCATGCATACATACATACTCTCTCTCTCTCTCTCTCTCTCTCTCTCTCTCTCTCTCATATATATATATATATATATATATATATATATATATATATATATAGAGAGAGAGAGAGAGAAAAAATCGGAATCATATTTTTAAATAAATAATTATATATATATATATATATATATTTATAAATTAACTGATTTAAAATATGGTTTTCGTTACACAGTTCTAACCATGTTTCAAAAATGTAAGCTAAAAGCTTCAATTTAATTTTGTAATTAAATTAAAGACATTAGTTCCATTTCATCCTCAAGCGAATTTTGGAGTAACTGTATCCTTGGAAACAGTAAATTATGATTTTTTAGCCGTGCCTTTAAACCCAGTAAATTTAAAATAAGTTACTCCTAAATTCGCTTGAGGATGAAATGGAACTAATGTCTTTAATTTAATTACAAAATTAAATTCAAGCTTTTAGCTTCCATTTTGAAACATATTAGAACTGTGTAGCGAAAAAACATATTTTAAATCAGTTAATTTATAATATTTATGCTCTGTAAATTTACATTGAGCACTATTCTGTAAAAATAAAATATCTATAAGAACACATCACATACCTTACTGTTCTTTCTTATATATATATATATATATATATATATATATATATATATATATATACTAGCAGCATGGCCCGGCGTTGCCCGTGCTTGATTCAAAAATCGTACGACTCATACAGCAATCGCTATCACTTGACTTAAAATATTTTTGCCCTTCCTTGCCTTTAAAGGAGTGCCCTTTGCCGTGCTAATGTTGCTACATGCCTTACTTCTTGCCTATCTCACACTGCGAATTTTTTCTAAGCTCTATACTAAACATTAAATCTGTTACGAAAAAAAAACTAAACAAAATGAACACAAAACGATCAGCTTTAAAAAAAGGACTTGTAACTAGAAAAACCGAATGAAAAAAGAATGTTAACAACAAATAATTTTTCACACCCAACCTAGTTTTGTGGAATCAGAATCAACGTTGAGTTTAAGCAAGCGAATGAGCCAATTGGAGTAAAGTGCCATGCAGATTTAAATTTTTCCCACTTATGACGAATGCAGCTATCGATTTTTTTTTGCATGCTAGCATGCTAGTTAACATTCGTGTCAGTCAGCTGTTGGCTCTCACGCTGGCCAATAGAATCTTCCTGCCTATTCGTGGCAACCAGCTATAGGCTCTCACTCTGGCCAGTACAAAATGGCCGCAAACTACATGAAAACTGTCGTAGAAGCATGAAAAAATTTATTATTTCCACTATCGATGGGAGTTGGGAAATGCAAAGTCGGTCTTGGCCTTACACCACCCGCATATCCAAGCTTGCAGCACCTGGCATTCCCAAGCGGTCACCAATCTAGGCACTGACCAGGCTCGACGTTGCTTAACTTCAGTGATCAGATGAAATCCGGTTTTTCAACGTGATGTAGCTATAAGCCCTTACACCACACGCACATCCAAGCTTACAGCACCTGGTATTCCTTAGCGGTCACCCATCTAGGTACTGACCAGGCTCGGCCTTGCTTAACTTTGGTGATCGTATGAGAACGTAATGTAGCTATATAAGCCCTCAAGCGTATTACTGTGCAATTAGTCAGAAGTTGTAAGTCACGAACAACTGAGAATAAAAGCATTCAGAAGATTAAGAAAACGGACTCCAAACTTTAATCATTATTTCAACAATTTTCAACGTTTTGAAGCATGGAGTGAAGCACCTATATCGATCTATATATAAAATTCTCTAACGTCCATCTGTCCGCCACACCCTCTAAAATAACCATACATTGACTAATTAATACCAAATTTTGGAGAGAAGTGCAAACTGGTAAGGGTGTACAAAGTACAGTTGCTTTTACTAGGAGACATAGCTTAGTACAATAAATGTTCGTTAATATTTTGTGAAAAATTAAAAGTTTTATTATCTAACATACAAAATACTCCCATTTTAAAAACAATTTATCTATATATATATATATAATTCTGTGATTTCCATTAATCCATCCGTCACACCCTCTAAAATAACCATACATTGACCGATCGAAACGAAATTTTGGTGCAAGCAGATACTGGGGTACAAAATACAGTTGGTTTTCTTGGGTGTGTAGCTTAGTACAAGAAATTTTCATAATATTCTGTGATTTCCTCTAAAATGGCCATACATTTACCGATCGAAACCAAATTAAAAAATATTGTTGAACATGAAGTCCTATAAAATTAAATTTAAAAAAAAAATCATTAAATCGTGAAGTAGAGTTTTTGTCAAAGTATTTTTCCGAACAAATCAGCTTATTCAAATTTCATCGATTGGTTTTTGCGAAATTGAACGAAACGTAAAGTTTATAAATCTCTACAAAAATGCTAGCGATAACTTTTACTAAATACTGTGATGATTTAAACAGGCGTCATCGTGTTGAAAAATAACTCTCTAATCAAATAAAAATGCAAACACAGATAATTGTTTTATTAGTAATTAATAGAAAAGAATAAGAACTTCATAAAGTCATCTTTACAGTATCAGTTACTCAAGTCCAATGGGAGAGGACATTTTCAAAACTAAAGATCATAAAGACAAGGTTAAGAAATTCGCTGTCTGATGAGAATTTGGAATCATATATGTTGCTATCCATTGAATAGAATTTGTCAGATAAATTGGATGCAAAAGCAATTATTGCTAGATTCGAACAATCATCTATTGAACACAAACCGAACGATTGCTCTTATAGTGGACTACTGTTTGAAATGATCTATTGGGCTTTTTTTGTTAATGTGTGAACTGTGCAGTAAACTATTTAAAAATATCAACCAGTTATTTAATACTAAAAAAAAAATTTAAATTTAATAACATTTTTTTTTATATCTACTTTTGATATCTACTTGAGTAATATGTACAGCGCATGTACAGCGCGTGTACACTTTAATTAAGAAATACACATATTTTTACCACAAAAATTTTAATTGTAACCTTTTTCCATATATATTATTTTTGGAAATTTCATTCGTTATAAAAATTAAATGATAGCATTGACTTTTTTCTCATTTGTCTCCTGGCAACTAATATTTTTAAACCCAGTCGCCACTACAATGGAGTCTGTAATGCCCAACCCACTCGAAAGAAACTAGACCCCTGATAAAATTCTTCTCACTGCCTCTGTTTGGTTGTTAATTAACGGCCTACCCAAATTTTCCGACTCCAAGAAAACTATCGTTACCCCACCCTGAATATATATATATATATATATATATATATATATATGTGTGTGTGTGTGTGTGTGTGTGTGTAAGTGAGTGAGTGAGTGAGTGAGAGAGAGAAAAAAGGTCCTGATTTAAATCTCATAATTTTGCTTAACGAATTACTTTTAATCAAAATTTGTAAATAAATAACCCTCTACCTCGAGTGGCTCTTGGGCGTAGTGTGAACACTAGTAAAAAAATAAATAAATAAATAATTATATATATATAATTTCACAAGTAGCATTTTTCTTTTGACCTTAATTAACAATCCTCCACTACTGCTTTAAGAAAAAAAAATTCAGTACCAACATTCTCAGTACCACAATTCAAGTCCCGGGAAGCAAATCTAGGTTGAAATTAAATCTTCTCAAGAGGAAAGAAAGAAAGAAAAAAGGTCAACTATATACATAAGAAAATTGAGGGTTGTGAAATCGGATACATCAAGTACGAACTTTCTCAGACGATTGTCTTGAGGCTTCAGGATTGGATGAATGCCTGAGAAGCTGAGTACCTCCACCCAAACTATGAAAGAAATAAAATAAAAAAAAACAAATATCAGGGTCTTATAAACTTAGCACGAGAGGAAGTTACCTCTTATAACACTGGGGTCTTATTCACATCCTTTTTTTTACTAAATGCCCAGCCTTTGTCTAAAAAAGAACATAAGTTTAGTGTTTAATATGCCAAAAACTCTTCAGACGTCCTATTCCAAAACATTCCACCAATATGCAACACAAGCGCTGCTTCAGTAACAAAGATAACATTTTCAAAGCAACTAAAGAGGATTAATTTTTTAGTTTACGTCAAATGAAGCCTCCTACTTTTTTTCAGTCCCTTTACAGCCGGCGCATTGCGTGATTTTAAACATTTAGTCATTAATTAAACAATGAAAAAAAATCCAATTCACTACAGATATTCTCAGCATTCAAGTTAAGAGAGTTTTTGAACTTTAAGCGCCAAAAACAAAAAACAAAAAATCTGTAACGCAAGATAGAGCGATGATTTTTACGTCGATTGTATTTGCCCTTATAAAGCAGAAATGTATCTCATTGTCGGGACTAAGAAAAGGTTTTCCAAATTATAAGTCTTCAAACTAAAAAAAGAAAAAAACATTTAGTGGCAGCTGATCTCAAGAATGACCTACAATTTGCTGTTAACTGGGGCAGAGAATGGCTTGTTAATTTGAACGTCTCGAAAACGAAATTTATCTCTCTTAATCTGAGAGACTCCTTTCCGCTTCCTGATGCTAACCTCCACGAATGTGACTCGTTGTGCCTTCTCGGGCTAACATTCTCAGCTGACATGAAGTAGGAAGATTATATTCAGGTCTACTTCTAAGATAGCTCACTGTGTTGTGCACGACAATTTTTATCGCCAAAATCTATCTTACATATATAAGACTACCATTTGTCCAGGCTTTGAATATTGCCGCCACATACGGTTCAGTTTCCCGGCTATGTATTTTGTGATTTTGAAGAATCAGCAATATTATTGGCCCTGACCTGGCATCTCGGCTTCAATCACTTTCCCCCTATTGTAATATAACCTCCCTATGCTTTTTCTATAAATACTTTCATAGTAATTGTTCTGATAAACTTTATTCTATGGTACCTAAACTTTATGAATTTAAGCGCAGTACTAGTGTATCAAAAGATCTCATCATTTTACAGTCGGAATTGATTATATGTAAACGTAAGTCCTATGCTAACAGTTTCTTCTCTCGCACTTCTTGCTTGTAGAACTCTGTTCCGGCTAAATGATTTCCAGTCAACTTTGATCTTAAAAAATGCAAATGCAATGTCAATCGTTATCTGTCTTCTTGATTACTCTTCTATTGTTCTCGCTCCTTAGTAATGTTTCTCTTTTTTTTTCTTTTTTTTTTTCGCTCTCACTAACCCTTAATGCCTTTACTGCCTTACATGGGGCGAAATGATTTTAAAAAATTAAATTAAAAAAAAAAAGGATTTGGCGGTCAGACAGAATGACGGTAAAGGAATCGAGATTTTAAAACGAGATAGAAACATGAAGAAAAATTCATACAGTTTTATTTTATTTTTTCTAACTTGAACTTATTGGGTTCAATTTAATTACATCAGTCAGTTAAGTCCCATCCGTGATACACGTTTGGGTAATCCTGTCTCTTTCGATTCATGACTGACTAGGCAGAAGATTTTCTTGCTATCCAATCCATCTCTAATACTATCTTATGTAAATACATTTCGTATTCATTGACCGAGCAGCCATTGCTACTCGAGTTATGTTTTTCTATCATTCCCCGGTCATCGGACTGAGATCAAAGTGTAGTATCTGTTCTCTAATCACTCAGTCAAGTGCCATACGTGTGATACACGATTGGGCGATCATGTCTCTTTCAATTCATTGACTAGGCAGATGATATTCCCGTTTCTTTCTGCGGTAGACTGGCTTCCAACCAAGGTTATAGGACTCAGTCTATCTTGCTATTTAATTCATAGCCGGGGAATGTTTTGAAAACATAAAAAAAAACAGTCAATATTATTTGCCAACGCTAAGGTTAGAAGCAGATGACAGTTTTAATTTCCGCTTTGTATTTTGGCTTTTCTTTTACCTGTTGTAGTGACCTTAAACATAGAAACATCTCTAAATAAACCTTGTATCAGCAACAGCTCTCGAATATAAAAACACGTGAACCCTAAATCTCTCTTCCGGGTTTTTCCTCTTTTGAACAGGTGACATGAACTTTCCACGCTGAAGCTGAAAGGGCTGTGAACGCTTCCACACGAAAACACACTAATGCAGTAATTCCCATATTCATGAACATTTCGCCGTGTAAGCAATTTACGTCTAACAAAAGAAACTTGTTTTAAACTTTCCTTTTGTTAATTTGTCAAATAAATGTCATCTTGCATTGCAAATCAATTGGTTTGTTATTTTGCGCATGTACTCTTTTTCACCAACATTATTTCATGTACTATAAAATGTTCCCGTAATAAACCTTACGCATTTAATTATTGAAGTAGCTAATCACTAAAATTCATTACTTTTCTTCTAGAAACATATTTTTATGCAATTATTATTATTATAAATGTCTGAAAAAAGTCTGGATTGCATATCATGACTGATATAAAATAGATTCGATCTAAAATTCACTAAAAAAGGTTACATGATGAAAAAATACTCCATACATAATTTAAAAAATTATCACCAAAATCATTTTGTTATTATTAAGAAGAAAGATCAAAGCATTTTTTATATAATTTTTTAATCCATTTTAGAACCTTGAAAATTTTGATTAAAAAGTTTTGGCTTGAAAAACACTTTGTTTTGTAAATATTTGCAAAAATAAGATACGATTTTCATTTGATAATTAAAAATTGTCAGATTTTTTTATCATAAAATTGGATATAGATAAAATATTGTATATACTCGCGTATCTTACGACTTTTGAAGACCGAATTTTGAAGCTAATTTTAAGAGGGTCGCATCATACACGAAATATAAAATTAGCGTATGTACTGCTGGTCATGGCTACGCTGTTGACCAAACTATATATCCATCTACTGTAGTCAAATTAACTTAAAAATTAGGTCTTCAAAGGTCGCATGATACGCGGGCATATACGGCAATTATCTATAACGGACATTTTGTTTTAGAGAACTCCTCGTCTTCATGTTCACTTCGAAATCCAGTATAATACACACACACACACACATATATATATATGAAGAAATATAGTTTTAAGGTGTGCTATATTTATGGGATAAAGTGCTCAATATCAGAGATAGAGCGTATGTAGATATAAATATAAAAGTGAACATTGAAGTCAACACTCAGAGGCGACGATTGCATCTAGCATGAAACAGCCTGTCGCCTCTGAGTTCAATGTTCACTTATACATATATATATATAGGGGGCATACCTTTAATGTCTGACACGTTGATCTTTAGGTGAACGGTCATCACTGGTCCTCAACTATCTCCCAAATCACTCACGTGATGGCTCCAAGTTCCCATGCCCCGGTAAACCATAAACTCACATGAGGTGGGGTATTAACACGGTATCACTGGGCGGATGACCTCCTCGACGTAGGTCACCGGCCAAGGCGGAAGGGTTCCTCAGATGAACTACAACGGCCACGTGCTAGCGACCAAGGCGAGCTATCTAGCTGGGGGACATTGAGTGTGGTCTACCCTGGAGAGGGATGGACTCTGCCAGATTAAAACGCCCCAAGACATGCCATATAATGAGCATATCAAGAAACCATTTCTCAGATATCCGGGCTCCTGGCACACGACCGCGATAGATGGAGCAGGATGGTGTGCAGCTCAGCACGTCAGGGCACCAACGTCTCCGTGCGACGTTAAGGGCGAAAGGAGAAGAAAACTCCATGTAAAAAAGGTTTTTAAAAGAAAAAGACGCATAACAGAACTTATCACTGGGAGTTTGGGGGAATATTTATTCGGAAAAGAATTTCAAGATATGTTTGCTGCCATAATTAAAATAATGAATGAAATGTTATTCTTCACTTTGACAGTTTTGATTTATTTTTAAAACCGCAAATTTCCTAAAGAAACCTTTCCGATATTTGCCATAATTAGAAGTTGTAGAAACCACATTGGTTGCTCCAGAACAAACGTAGCATCTTGAAAATTGATTCCACGTTACCGTACGCAGTATGGTTTGGGACAACAAAGACAAGCTTCTTAAATGATACGACAAATACAGACTTTGACAGCTTGTTAAAAAGACAAACAAACAAAAAAGATAATTGAAACACAGTTATAAAATTAAACTCTCAATGGCTATTTATAGTTTAACAGTAGAAAGAAATTATTATTGTGAGAATTACAGATACAAAAAAAGAACTAAAAAGGACTAAGAAAAATTGTAATCTAAAAATAGGATATATGTCTATTGCAAAAGTGGCGGTTTAAGCTTTAAGCGTTTATCTTGCTCTAGGTCTAACTTTGAAGGGGTATTTAAGTGAAAAAGAAAATGTTTCCAAAAACTTATGTGTTTCAAAATGTTCTTGCGAAATTTGCCGCGTGAATTAAACTGCGATTTTACAGGTAAAAATAAATAAATAAATAAATAAAAGGTCTTTTCCGAAGTATCTGTCTATATTTCCACTATATTGGTCTTTTCCGAAGATCAAATTAAAATCCTACAAGTAACAAATTCGATATGCTCGGTTACAAGTACTTGTCTGGCGCCTATAGAATTATATTTTTCCCCGTAGAGAATTAAAGACCAATTCCATTGTTTAGAAATGTTAGTTATGAACAAAAATGTTCATATGTGTGTAAGATGTGTGTAGCAAATTATTTCATACAAACACACAGACATACACACACACATATATATATATTTGGTTGGATTGATGTGAGCTTGGCATATGTTAGATCTATCTCTGATATTGAGCGCTTTCTAATAAGTACCGCGCATATAGCATATAAATAATTATATATTTATATCTATATACACACACTTTTCACATACATACATAAAAGTCAATGTGATTTTCTGAAGTTCGTGAACAAAAAAGGTTATAGATTTTATAAAAAATAAAGTAGAGATAGATACGAACAGACTGAGATAGATAGATAGATAGATAGATAGATAGATAGATAGATAGATAGATAGATAGATAGATAGATAGATAGATATGAACAGACTGAGATAGATAGATAGAAACAGACTGAGATGGATAGATAGATAGATAGATAGATAGATAGATAGATAGATAGATAGATAGATAGATATGAACAGACTGAGATAGATAGATAGATAGATAGATAGATAGATAGATAGATAGATAGATAGATAGATAGATATGAACAGACTGAGATAGATAGATAGATAGATGGATGTGAACAGACTGAGATAGATAGATAGATAGATGGAATAGATAGATGATATGAACAGACTGAGATAGATAGATAGATAGATAGATAGATAGATAGATAGATAGATAGATAGATATGAACAGACTGATATAGATAGATAGATAGATAGATAGATAGATAGATAGATAGATAGATGATATGAACAGACTGATAGATAGATGGATAGATAGATAGATAGATAGATAGATAGATAGATAGATATGAACAGACTGAGATAGATACATAGATAGATAGATAGATAGATATGAACAGACTGAGATAGATACATAGATAGATAGATAGATATGAACAGACTGAGATAGATAGATAGATAGATAGATAGATAGATAGATAGATAGATAGATAGATATGAACAGACTGAGATAGATAGATAGATATGAACAGACTGAGATAGATAGATAGATAGATATGAACAGACTGAGACAGACAGATACTAGAAACTCGACACACATACACACATCCCTCGATTAATGCTTTTCACTTACTGCATGCATAATACTCGATTAGTGCGGTAAAACATTCTCCAGTTTAACCGTAGTAATTGAAAGCCTGTTTTTTTATAGTTAATGTAATGATGTACAAATTACCCGCACTAGTAGTGGGATTCCTGTATATTTTAATTTTGCCTTCAATTTGCATTAATTCTCTTCTTTTCTTATTTAAATTAAAATGAAAATCGGATTAATGCTCTCGAAATCTGAGTAAGATTGAAGACTCGGGACTTGCCTCGAACGAGATCGATAGATTTTTTTTTTCATACTGATTGTTAAACAAAATAATTAAAAAAAAAAAAAAAACAATGATCAGAGCCAGACTAAAATATTGGACGCTAATAATGTGGAACGGTCAAATTCTGATAAAAGATCATTTTTTTTTTTTTTTTTGCGGTAACTTTTCTTATGATCTGCCCTCCTTAAAAAAAATCATCATCAGAGAACCCATATATAAAGTTATAAAGTTTATCTTGCAAAAATAAATTAGTGTCGAATTAGATAACAACAAAAAACATCAGAGAGAAAAAATTTGAGTTGAAGAACATTACAAGAAAAAAAAATTTCAAATAACAAAGGAAAAAGCGTCATTTATTTATTTGCTCTGCTTCTTTGGTTTCCTTTTTTTTATTTTTTTTTTTTAATAAATTCTTAAGGAAGCAACAATGTGTGAGTGCTGGAAAATCTTCAACTCATCATCTCGTTTTCAATGATTCGCCGAAAAAACTACAGGGCATGATGAAAAAAGCCCCAAACTTAATAAAAACAAAGTTTTATCGTGAAAAAGTTTGTTATTAATAAGCGGAAAGACCAAAGTATTTTTTAATTATTTAAAAAAAAAATCCTTTTTAATCCTTTTTAACAGGTTTGAAATTTTGGTAGAAAATCTTTTCTTTTTTTTTGTTTGTTTTTTTTTTACGTCAGCATTAGTTTTTTTTCGCACTTTTTCATTTGAAAAATATTAATTTGGAAATTCTTTCAAAAATTAAATAATTATCGGATTTTATTAATGATACTTATCTAATTTGGCATTATTTTTTTAACGACAAAATAAATAGAAATAAAAATAGAAGGAAGGAATTGGTGCAACAGGAAAAAAAAACTAACCTGTTCCAAATCGATCGACAAATTGACAGCATTGTATTCCATTCCACGAGAAAGGGGTGGGCTCTGCCACCATCTTTCCGTGCCATCGATCGCAAATTCTGCTGGATGCGACAATTCTTCTTCGCTGGGGTCGCATTCTTCACACAATTGTCCGGAGTTGATCGTGATTCTGAGGTCGCTTTCCTTAACTTCGCCAGCTACCCCGGTTAACCGACAGAATTGTTCAGGGGTAGACACATTCACACCACACGTAGCCGTCGCCTGGATTTTCTTTCCAGATGCCAAATTAAAATAAGGCGGCGTTAATACTTTCACTTGCGCTGAACATGTACCTAACAATATCGTGACAAATAACGTTAAGCCTGTTAGGATTAGCAGAGGGGGCGGACCCCGCAGGCCCTCTGCAACCGCCATTCTGTAAAAGACTTTTGAACTGGTACGCGCCGTCCCTGCTGATTTTATAAAAGAGGGCGAGTCCAAATTGCTGTACGGATGCTTGCGGGGTTAACAGACGGTAGAAAAAATGACTTATTTAAAGGGTAAATCTTGCTAATTCATTTTTTTCTTAAGATATACAAATTAGAGGCATTTAGTTTGATTAAAATTTGCTTTGAAAAAGCAATGCATCAATTCGGTAGCTCGCAAATACCATTCTGCCACAAAAATGGAACAATCCCACTTTTGCGTTTGTATGACGAGTGAGAGAGAGATGAGAACGTGAGTGTGCGTTGTACTTATAGTTAATAATAATACGTATGTACGATGAGAGTACTGAGATCGACCTCATCAAATAGCCCTTCCAGGACCATTCGTATACTTGTTACAAGCCCTTCAATTATTCTTCATTTTTATTTTAGTGAATAGAATGATGTTTTAGTCCTAATTTTTTTTAAAGTAATTTAATTTTTAATATTTAATAAATGTTAAATTAAAGTTTAAATTTAAGATTAAGTTAACTCGAAAATGCCGAATAACACTGAACAAAATTCGTTTTTTTATCAAAATTAATAAATTCTCATAAGGGAAAAAAAGTAAAGCAAAAAGATTCAGTGAAATTACATAATTGTTAACAACCATGATTTTCTTTCATGTTTCCCTTTCTTCTATTCTTTCTTTATTTCTTTCTTTCTTTCTTTCTTTCTTTCTTTTTGTTTTTTTGTTTTTGTTTTTCTTTTGTTTCTTTTCATTTCTTCGTTCTTTATTTTGTTTCTTTGTTTGTCTGTTTCTTTCTTTCTTTCTTTCTTTCTTTCTTTTTCTCTCTCTCTCTCATTCTTTCTTTCTTAACTTTTTTATAGTCTTCCTTTCTTTCTTTTATGCTATTCTTTACTTCTTTTTCACTTTCTCTCTCATGCCTTATTTGTTTGCTTGTTTCTTTTTCTCCTTCTTTCGTGCTTTTCTTTGTTCTATTCTTTCTCTCACTCACTCTTTCTTTCTCTCTATATTTCTTTTCCTCTTTCTTTCTTTCTTTCTTTTTGTCTCTTTTTCTTTCTTTTGTTCTCTTCTTTCTTTATTTCTTATTATCTTTCTTTCTTTCTTTTTTTCTTTTGTTCCATTCTTTCTTTTTCTATTTCTCGTTCTTTCTTTGTTTTGTTCTACTCTTTCTTTCTTTGTCCCTTTCTCTCACTTTATTTCTTTCATTCTCTCTTTTTCTTTCTCTTTATCTCTCTCTGCCTCTCTTTCTTTCGTTCTTTCCTTCCTTTGTTCTTTCTTTCTTTTGTTTTATTTTTTATTTTTTTTATCCATATTTTCTTAACTATAAACAGTAAATTGGTAATTGTGTGCGGGTTGGGTAACAGAAAGTAAAATAGACGAGCCGAGTTCAAATTCCGAGAGAGTCTGTTGCGTTCACTTTCGCACAAGTTCAGTTCTTCTTCTTCTTGGCTAAATTGTATAGTAGACTGCTTCTTGGGCGGTAAGCAGTCTTAGAGAAGGAAAATTCTGAATTCCAAACCTTGGAGAAGCCAACGGGAAAATCACTCTTATTATTCTCAAAAATGTAAGGCAATTCACATATCATAAACAAATGAAGAACATGCGGATGCTTCGGCGAGGGGTAATGCTTCGCAAATCTAATATGTTTGGCCATTAGTGTTGAAATTGAAATCCTTACCGGGTGCCCCATACAACAGAATTTTAAAAATTCAACGTTAAATAACCCAACACTGACTCTAGCATGTTGCAAAATCCACCAATCCAACCTATTTATATTTTTATTTCTACAAATTTTAATTTTTCAAGTCTTTTAACAAAGGATGGAAATGTAACACCGAAATCCAAACACACATCAGATTAGCGAAAAATGCCTTCCAGAAGCTAAGCAAAGTAAGTAGAAACAGGAAAATTTCGTTAGCAACAAAGAAAAGAGTGTTGAATTGCTATAAATAGGAGGAGATATGTTCGCATATTGTCCGATTCACACTCCTCCCCGCTCTTTTGAACAGGAGTAGTGGTTTATCCTTTGTTTCCTGTTTAGGATTGGGTTTCCGGTTCCTTCTAAAAGCTTCTCATTCTCTTTCACTCCAAATAACCCCTTGCGTCTGAGTGGAATTATCGCCTTGCTTGGGGTGAATTCATTAAAAAAAATCTTCTTGTGAATGTTGGACTATCGCATCATAGATGAAGAGGAAACTGGAGGCAACAGAAATATGATTCTACAGAAGGATACTGAGAATTCCATGGACGGGGCAAGTAAGAAGCAAGAAAGTTTTAAAGAAAATAGTACCAAAAAGAACTCAGAATCAAAGAGAGACAGCTGAAATTTCTTGGACACATAATGAGTATGGCGGACTTGGAAACTTAACCCTCACAGGGCATATCGCGGTGATAGGAGAAGACAGCAGGCCATCTACTTGACAATCTGGCATGAATGGATGGAGGGACTGGAGTGTGATAGGCTTTGCAAAAGGAGAAACGCTGATTAGGGTCACGATGGATAGGAAGCTGTGGAGAGTCATGATCCCCCACGTCCTGAAAGGACACGGCACACAGAACAACAACAACAATATTTATTGGTAGTATCGAACTCTTTTCCTGGATTCTGTGTCTGTGTTTACCCTGGAGGGCGGGGTTAGCAACAGACATGTTTGGGTCACTGTGTAAGTGTTATTGTGGGAAAGGAAATGAGAAAAAGAAAGAGAGGGAGAGAGAGAGAGAGAGAGAGAGAGAGAGAGAGTGTGTGTGTGTGTGTGTGTGTGTGTGTGTGTGTGTGTGTGTGTGTGGTCACATGGACTAGGCGTGTTATGTGAATGAAACAATTATTTCTTCGTCTATGTACTATATCCCTTCAGGCTGTAGGCGGTCATGGTTCTCCCCAACTTCCTATCCCTATAGCTGTTAGTAACATTTGTCTTTTTGCCGTCCCTTCTACCCTTGCTCTGCCCGCCCATTCACGCAAGCTGGTCAGGTAGGTGGTCTACTGCCTTCGCTGTCCCTTTTATCTTCGATATATGCTGTGGGTATTAAATTCTCCAAGCAACCCTTCCTCATTATATCCAAGAAAAGTCAGCTATTTCTGATTCTAAGTGTCTTTTTCGTTCCCATTTCACTTAAAACTTCCTCATTGCCCACATGTTAAGGCCATAGTATGCTCAGCATCCTTCTGTAGAACAACATCTCTGTTGCTTCAAGTCTCCTCTTCATCTGTGTGTAGATTGCCCAACGCATTGTGAATATGAGTAAATGGATGACGGGACAAGGTTTAGAAGAAATAACAAAAAGATAAAATTTATTAAGAGCTACAAAAGACAGGAAATTGTGGAGCGCCATGATCGCCTACGTCCTGAGGGGATACGGCATATAAACACGTTTTCCTACCTACGATGTCGACCGCAGACAAGACTAATCCTGAGTCACTACGAACCCAATAAACCTGTCCATGAATGTATACTTTGACAGGGTGACATTTTCTTCTACGAGATAGATAGATAGATAGATAGATAGATAGATAGATAGATAGATAGATAACGAAATGACTGATAGATAGATAGATAGATAGATAGATAGATAGATAGATAGATAGATGTATAAAGTGATACCATTATAGAATAAATGATGAGTGTGCAAAAATGAATTACATAAAATGTGTTCCCTGTGGGTGTTCATATACGTAAAGTACACATAGCGTAATGAGGATGTGGCTCTGTGTACTCCACATCGAAGTTTGCAGAGTTAGCATACATACATACATACATTACTCATATACGTAAAATAGTAGGTTAGTTACTAGGCTCAAATGGTTGAATACTCAGACTGAACTCTCCAGCCTTGCTTGATAACCAGTCTAAGAGATGAACGATACCACGATTAAAATGCATGGAGAAGAAATTTCTTCTCCACCTAGAAGCTCTGTTTTAAACAGCAGGCTAGACTAAGCTAGTTCACTAGTCTAGGATGACTACTTTGTGATTAAAAACCTGAAAAATGCAAAAAAAAAAGAAGACGCTCCACCATCTTTTCCTAGAAGTCAAGTCAATTCACAGATATTCAAGACAAGGCAAGTAAGCTGTGCAAAGGAATAATTGCATTCGCCTTGAAAGAACATGGCATTAAAAAAATGGGTTCTACTTAAATATATGATTGACTTTCGGAGTATGATCTACCAGAACAAAGCCAGTCCTGTGTAAGACAAAAAAACTACATCCGGTAGAAAGGCCTCTGATCGGAAGATTGAAGGTTTTGAGAAGCATGGGATAATTTCTTAACTGCTATTGTTCCCGGGTCCACCATGACCCGGAGTGGTAGCACCTGTTAGGGTCCCAGCTATGGGCAAATAGTGAACACCCAAACAAAAACAAAACACTATAAAAGTATAAAAATACATTTTTATTGTTATATGTATAAAAAAAATTACCAACAATACCTATTTATAGTAAAATTACCAACAATACCTATTTATACAGGGTGTTCCCCCACTGACAAAAAAACAGGAAATTTTAGACTAACATTAACTAACATATAAAAAAAAATAACTATATATCTTACTATATAGAATAAACTAAAAAAATAACTAACATATAATATTTTTAACCATTTCTTGTTCCAGGATGTCAGTTACCAAATTTTCGACGCGAAGTGGTTGTTCGTTTTAAGAAAGAACATCCAACTTGGGGACTGAAAAAATGCCAAAAAAAAATTGCCAGGGTTCTTTAGTTTGAGGACCACATCGAACATTTATGTTTTTGTTCTGTTTTGAGCGACTAAATTTCTATCCTTTGCTTTTGTTCCAGATAACCTAACAAAAATTCCAACAGTTAAATAAAATTTACCAAATTTCCTGTTTTTTTATTTTGTTATATATATATATATATATATATATATATATATATATATATATATATATATATATAGATGAGGGCACACCCTGTAGTAGAAATACCAACAATGCATTTTAGCTGTGGTTGAAGGCATACAATTGCGTTCAAATTATTTAGATTTCGGCATTAAATAACCCATAGAGTTCAGTTAGAAATTCCAATGCCTATCACCTGAAGAAGGCCAGAGCGAACAACGGCCGAAACATCGTGATTATGGCAATAAAAATGAGAACAACAGACCGAATAATGTAAATAATTACAATACCTCATTTCAGAAATATAGACAGATGTTAACCCATAGAGGTGTTGACATGCCGCCAAACAATATCAGTCAAACCAAAACCAGAACAACGCAACACTACTAAAATATGTGATCTACAAGTTGAGGAAATACTCTACATTAATATATATATATATATATATATATATATATATATATATATATATATAGATAGATAGATAGATAGATATATATACGGAATAAGACTAGAAAAAGAATAAGTCTTCTATATAATAAATGAGAATGTCAGTGTGTCACTGTGTCAAACTTTTCAACTTTATTCCTAGAGGCCGTAGCCCAACATATCAAACCATTTTGGAATCAGACCGACTCCAAGAGCAAATTAAAAACATTCCGGGTTGGATACGGACCTGCAATCCTGAAATTTTGGATTACCAAGTTTTCATTACTACAATTGTTTTCTGCAATTTTTTACGTGATTTTTTGCAACGAAGTTTTTTGTACAATAACAACTTTTATAATTTAGAAATAAAGTTGGGAATAATCGAAATTAATTGCGAGATTCTGCGAAAGTCAACCCTGAAATAAAAATAATTGTTTGTGCGGAAAGTAAGGACCTACGTACATCAAACTGTCTTTAAATTACGTGGCAGCAGAAGAATTATCGTTGGACTTTTAAAAGGTAAACATTAATCCTAATCTTAATGCAATACTTAAATGCAGCGATCAATATTCTTCTGTAGTTTATTGTTGCCTATCCATTTAATCCTCCTTACCTATTGTGATGAAGACCCAGTCAGGAGCAAGCTTAAATGTCACCAAATAGGGCGACTTTTAAGCTAGTTAATTGATATATTTAATATTTGATGGCAACGAAGGAATGCTAATGTGTATTCTTCATCGCAAATAATTTGGTTATTGAATTCATTTGCAATTTATGATGAATTCTCGCAAAAGGGATGAGAATAATGATTTTATAAAAAATCGTCTGGTTTATATACAAAATCCACCGAAAGCCTTCATTCAATGTGTGCTACTTAGGGGCTACATAAGTAAAGTTGCGCATGTGGATCAATTTCTTTAAGATAGATCACATATTTTAAAAGAACCGTACACGTAGCTCACATAAATAACACCAAAACACGATCCAATGATTTGATCCAATGAAAATCTTGCCTTCACAGAAATTAGCCTGTAAAC